GGCCCAGGCGCGGCCCCCGCCCCCGTGGTGCGGCGGTCTGCTTCTGCGGCGTCTGCAACACAAGAGCCACCAAGCGCGCGTCAGCACAGCCCATGACACGATTCGCATCAACAAATAACGATTAAAGAATTTGAATGATGATGGGGCAATGTTGGAATGAGTTGAGGGGGAAATGCAAGACTGGTGTACTCTGCCACGAACAACTACAAACACCACATGGATCAACCTGAATTGACACCTTGGTGGAATGGGAGCGGTCTGCGCGAGAACACCTGCAGACAGAAGGTCAAATACCTGCCTATCTCTTATGTACCAAACTCAATCGCCTGCAAGGCAGACGCTTGCACCTTGGAGTGAATGGTCACTCGAATCGTGGAATGGATATACAGTCACAACATTCGCTTGCGCGCGCACGCCAGTGTCGGAATGTGACTTGTTTACTTGCGAAGTTTACTTGCGAAGGGCCTTGCGCGCTACTGACTGACGATCCGAGGACCCCAACTGTGTTAGTGCCGCACGAAACACTTCTTCGGGATCCCCAATCCCCAATATCCTCGTGAGGTTTTCTAATCGATTCTTGCCCTGTGGGAACTCGCGATAAACTCCACGTGCGCGAAAGATCCGATTTACCAACGCCTTTGCGAGAAGCCCTGCTCATTGAATGTGGGTGGCCTTCTAAAGGGTAGTTTGTTTGCAAATGTGAGGGCGAAAATTGCGTTTAGGGAGTAAGACAATGAGTTACAAGTTAAGAGTATTTCACACAAGCTTAGAAAAGCCATGTGATCCCAATAGACTAGGAAGGGCTTTCAGAGGGAAAACGAGCTGACATTTTTAAATGAGGCACACAAATTAATGAAGTAGCATTTGATTGATTATTTTGTGTTTCCGAATGTGTTTACGGCTATGGATATTAGTCCCGTAAGCATAGTAGGTGGTTTGTGACAGGACATGGCGATCTGCATGGTGAGATCCGGCGCAGAACTTCAGAGAAACTAGAGTGATTTCCCTATCCGGCTATCTCCCCTAGCGAGACATCGCCCTAGCTGAGAAGCTCTAAGCTTCTGAAGTGCGGTAGTGTGTAAGTGAGGGGTGAGGGCAGGTCACGAAAGAGGAAGGGAAGAGCGCGCACGTCCTTGGCGCGTTTGTTAGGGTCCTCGTCTGGCATTTGCCTGGTATCGATAGGAAAATGCACGGAACAGATTACCCATTCAAGCAGCCCGCCGATCAAAGTAGCCTACTACTAGAATTCTCCTCCAGACGTCTGAAATCGCAGTTATGAAAACGTCAAATTGCAAATGGCACTTTTATGGTTTCCAAATTGTGCTGTTAAAAAGATATGTAAACTTGCTAAATAAATGGGATTAGGTGGAATTTGTGAAAAAAAATATAAAATCCATCCAAGAACGAAATAGTTTGGATTTTATAATTCAAATGCAGTTAGTTGTTTAATATCCATTTAGTAGTTTAAGGTATTGTTCGTAAAATTATTTTACGTAAAATTATATATTCCATAGCCATTCACACTTTTGAGCTCATGTATTTTCCGGTAACCTCATAAATGTTACGTTCTTTCTCTAATTGTTGTTGACGCTGATTCCTTGACGCTGTATTTTCTCATCAGGAGCATAGAAGATTAGGAAATTCCTCAAAACATGTTTGCTAAGACTTATATGTTCATGTTCTAACGCTGTGAAATAGAAATATTGTGATTGTACAAAATTACTTCTATTTACATATTCATTTGTAGAGATTCTTTCAAACATAATTATTCCTAAATATTCCAAACACTAATTTAGTATTGTTGACACTGATTGCATGAAACGGTTTTGTTATCGTAATATCACAAGCAACGGTTCCGTGACGCGTTGACGCCAATTACTTCAGAATCGGGACAACTCGACAACTCAGGCTCATTGACAGTTTGATCGGTGGTTTCCATGGCATCGAGGGCGTTTTAGGTCAATGAATAACACCCAGAAGATACGACGTAGGGTCTTATGTTCCGATTACATATAACTTAGTTCTGTATATAAACGAAGAATGTAACATCATGTTCGCTTAATAAACATTCGTACTCTAGAAAAATGAATGCAATAAGTTTGCCTCGTAATTATGCTTGTTAAAAATTGGATAAAAATCAAGTTTTACTGTACAATAAATGTAATTCGTATTTCAAATATCGGATAGTATAATGACGCATATAGGTAGGACTTTAAAGTTGTAATAAAATAGATAGGTGGATTCTAAAACCTGCTACGTCCGATAATGCTTTACTTCAGAACTTTTTTATACCTTGAAATAAATGACTAAGCACGATTTGGGAAAAAGTAGTAAGGGTTAAGGCAGAATAATATCACTACTAAATACTTCTTTGAAAGTAAATCCAGGTGACTAGAAAATCTATGGCTTATAATTAATATTAATCACACAAAGGAAAAAAATAAAGAAATGACGAAGCGATTTGGAATCCATCTACTCATAGATGTAGAGATTTTCGAACCAGCAATGCGTTGGGAAATGAAGTCAGTCAGTTTTGGACGAGTATATTCGCTGTAATTGTGCGAGATCTGATAAAAGATTTAAGAAATCTATAAAAATAAAATGTAATAGTAAAGTAACAATTATTAATATGTTCTTCTGCACATTATGCCTTTCTCGTCACTTAATACTGAATGGAATTAATCTTTCTTTCATTGTGAATCAATGAAAACTTTCAAAAATCCTGCTAGGAGTTTTTCGTATTTCATATCTCTTGTATTTCTTGTGTCTCTTTGTAAGCTCCCAGCATTAACTTAAAATCAGTTTCATTTCTCTATATTTAATTGTTTTTAAGGTAAATAACTATTTATTGTGATACGTTTGGCAAGGAGAGAATGTACATTTAATGTTCAGAAGCAAAGCAATGGACCATCTGTTTTTATATCCGTAAAATCAGCCTCAAATTCTTGGCATCTTGATGATTTTGATGAGCCATGGATAGACGAGAATAAATTACAGAGCAATGGAAAATGGCTGTGTAATTGTACTGACGGAGGCAAGTATAGAAGAACAAATAAATAGGAATGAGTCATTTCATGCGTGAAAAAATCCCACCGCCTTGTCTATTAGACAAATGTTTTCTATGCGATTTGGGTAAGAAACGCTCTGTTACTGCAGAGTAGCCTCGCGACCATTTGTCTTCTATAATATCCTGGAGGTTCAGCTTAAAGTGAGCAGAAGCAATGGGGATATTTCAAGAATTGACGAAGAATTTTTCTCGCATACAAAAGACTAAGAACGAAAGTTTGTGCTTTGATGCTTAGCCGCAATAACTAAAATTATAAATTTTAGTAACTTTGAAAATTCATTCATTTGCATGTTCATCATCATTTTAAATTCTAATTAAAAGTGTTGTGTTAAAAATTAATTCTGTACGTGTTTTTAACATGCATTCCTTCATCAAATATATATATATAT